TGGCCCCTGGAGGGGGAAACCTGATCTCCCTTAACGTCCCGCTCCTACTCGGACAGCGTGTGCACCACCGCCTCACCAGAACCGCACTGCCCCTCTGGCAGTTGCTATAGAAACCTCTCCCAAGGAGGTTTTTTTTGGATTGAGGATGTATGCATAATTTCAAAACTTGTTTTCAGACTCTGTGCGGATGACTATTACTCACAAAGGGCTTTTGGTCTGTGCTGCACCGCTCAGTGTAGGGTGTGTGCAAGTATGTGTGTGTCTGTATGCATTTCACAGTGCATCACATAGCTTGGCCCCCCCACCCCAATATCGGGCCTTGTCTGAGAGTCCCCGGGGGTATCCTGAGTGACAGATGTCTGTTACCCGACGCCAAGTGAATTAGCCCAGTGTGATTCTCAGTGCCAGAGGGGGCCGTCCACAGGCCTGCCTGGCTCTGGAAGCCTGAGGGACCGGGGAAGCCGAAAACACAACGTTTTTTGAGGTTTTTTTAAAGGGGGATGGTGCTGCTGCAGTAAGAGGGCCGTACTGGGACACTAAAGCCTCACCTGGCATTCCTTAGCACAGAATCAGTTCAGCACAAAGGCATGATCTATGAGAGGAGATAAGCGCTGCCTCTGGAGTTCTGGCACTGATCGGCTGCCAGGCCTCGCACACTCCACCAGAGGAGATGAATGAAAGTGCCAGGCGCAGCGCACGGCCAAAACGAGTATCTGCATGTCTGCCTAGCCAGAGAGCTCGTGAGCACAGAGGCAAAACTTTAAGCTAATGAATGTTTGGTGCTGTAAGAAAAGTGATAACTTGAGATTTAATAGTTTAAGAGAACGTCAGAGCGCACTGGTGCAACGTCCAGCAGTGGTTCTGATCGTAAAAGAAACAGTGCGTTGGTAGCCAGGTGGAGTTACTCTTTCAGCTTTGATTTCAACATTGCTTTTACTGTTACACCACTCCAGCCTTTTGCATTTTTCCCTCTCCGGTCGTTTCAGTTCTTCCATCTTCTCAGGATATTGCAGCCCTTTATCTTTCACAGGTTGGAACAATGACCTGAAACTCTTTTTTTTGATGAAAATCCTTAGTTTACCCCTTCACAATGCCTTTACAATTCACAGCCTGCTCTCTGCCTGTGAAGCCACTCTCCAAGGTAATTAGTTGAATATTTCTTCAAAGAGAAGCTATATAACCCCTGTGTGTCCAGATAAAAGGCCAGTATGGCTCTGCAGCCCCCTCTCTCGCTCCGTCACAGGGATCTAGAGGACTCCAGCAGTCTGCTGCAACGCTCACAGAATCTCTCGAGCTAATAGGATTTGATATTGAAAAATGACCACCAGCAACATTTTCTGAAAATACACACAGATGGGCTCCAGGAGTGTTTTTCAAAAGGATACTACCTCTTGGCAGCTTTCTGTCTTTCTCATATGGCTTTGCTCTCCCGTCCTTTTTCTGCCCGCATGATTTTTGTCAAATCTGTGCAGTTGCATACGGCTTCTCGTGTCACTTCTGCCAGGACACAACCTTCATAGGCAACATATCACAAGACTCTCACAGACAACTCATAATGTATCATTTATTATTTATATGGCTGATAGGAAATGCAGCTGCTCTGGCTTTGTGTTCTAAGTGTATTGTCGGCCATTCGCGGCTGCATTTTGAATACTCGAGACCACAAAATGTTCAATCAAAAATAACTTTGAATTAAATGTAACCACATTTGTTTTTACAGACTTCTCTGAAACATGGATGTTAATCGGGCCCTCCCTTGCAAATGTAAGAAGCTTAAAACCAAAAACAGCTTTTAGTTTGTTAGCGACACGTGGACCAAACCTGCCACTGCACTGCCTCGCTGTCTGCTGCCATTTACTGTATGAGAAAGATCCTTCATACTGTCAGTATAGAATAATGTCGTCATCCAGAAGGTGGGATTCATTTCACTCTTCAACAAGCACTTGAGTTTGATGTGCCGTCCATCACTCTTTGTGATGGGGGTATTGTTAAAGGTGAAGTGTGTGTGTGTGTGGGGTGATGGCAAGTTACTAATAGGTGAGACAATGCAAAACTGACCTTGATTCAGAGGCATAGCCTTCCTACTGGACAGAATCAATAGCTTTTGCACACTGCCCTTAGTCCCCATCCTTTGCTCTGACACACAAGTAAACACACACACAGATCCATCTCCAGGCAGCGATCAATAACCATAATCTGTTTCTGCCCATCGCCAGTCATGCGAGCCAGGCTTTTAGGTAGCGTGTGTGCGTGTGTGTGTGTGCAGCAGCAGGAAGAGGAGAGGAAGCCTTGATCCTTTCAGTGGAACCCAAAAAGCTGCTTAACTCTGTCATGTTCCCTCACAGGCTCATGTGAGCATATCTGCAGTCCCCCAGCTCCACTGCTGGAAACAAGATGTACATCTTTGCAAAGGATGTATGCCGAAAACACAATGGATATGATATTCCGCATGCACTGCTTTTGTGTGGCGTTTCTGCATCCCCACACGCCGTCATAATTAGTACAGTCACCGCATTGACCGTGACACATTCTCACACCCCTTCCGAGCAAGTTATTGTCCCGGTCTCGTCGAGTCTTTGTCTCACAACAGCGTGTTCTTTTGTATACTGTAAGATTCTTCACCTAGCGGAGATGAAAGTGCGCCTGTATGCATGATAGGGTGTCGTGAATAGGATCTGCCATGTTAGTGTTGTCTCCCATGAATTATTTAGCATCGTTGATAGGTCTAATTTGCCAGCTGTTGTGCCATAACTGTTGGCAGACTCATGGATAATACTCAGCAGTCTATATCACTATGGAGCACAGTGCTTGACTGGGCACAGTGAGACGCCAAGCTAGTCATTATAAGCTGGATTCATGTAATGGTCTGAGCTGATGTGAGTATAGCCAACTTCCTGTTCACTGGAAGCGGGGCTGACCAACTAAAAGTAATTTGTAATCTGCAGTAACTTTTGCAGCGGGAGTTGGACAGCTTGACTTGTTGCATGATTTATGATAAGTGATTGTCAGCATATTGTTATTACTGGATGCAAACCGTTTAGTCAGAGGCGGTTGGCTGCTGTTGGATGAGTAGGTAGCTGGAGTTGGGTGAGGGGCGCTGGGCTAGTTTGGACTTAAAGTGTCCCTGCTTGGAGTTGGCAGGGCTAAGTTTGGGCGGAGGCTGGCATTGGCTTTGATAGGGTGGTTGAGAGTTTACACATTATTTCAGGGGGCTGCAAAGAGAGGAGGGGGCTCTCCCCAACTGAATGTTTTAACCTAATCCCATTATCAGTGTAGCGCACTGCCTCCCATCTCTTCCCCCTTCTTATCCCTGCTCCCTCCCACTCCTCTCTCCAGCTGACCAGCTGTTCCTGCCGGGACTCACGACAATGTCCGATGTGTTCAGATCACTGAGTACCCCCCTCCTAATAAACACACACACACACACACACATGAACAGAGCGCAGTCCATGCACGACCAAAGCAATTGCCAAGCCCATTGCTGGAGCCGAGAAGGCCTAGAGGAGGAGGAGGGTGTTGGTTGGGGAAGAAGGGGTGTAGCTTTGGGGGTTCGGAGGGGGCAAGCACAGGCCTGTCAAACAGAGAGCCCTGACTCAGGAGGCAGCCCAGCTCGGATGGCATATGGCGTCTAGCTTCATACAACATGCAAAAGTATTCTCTCTCTTCGCCCCCTCTCATCTACTCCCCCTCCCCGTCTCCCTCTCCCTGCTGCTAATGCAGAATGACTCATAGCATTACTCATTTTTTTCCTGC